GCGTAACCTTACCCTTGGAATCAGTGCTCTGAGAGATACCAAATATTTTGTATAACGATGACAATACCATAATAATTGGCAATGCAGTTTACAAAGGCAGGGCTTATGATTAGTCATCAGTTATTATAAAAGAAATGGGAAGGCTAATAAGGAACATTTGTTTCCTTCTCTGCAGTGAACTGCAGTATTGTTAGCTTGTAAGACTGACACCAGCTAGAGCTGTTATGGGTGAAGTCACCTCTCATGTATGAAGTTGGCAATTAAGGCTGTAGACACATAGTACAGAGCTGAGCAGGAACTTAAACCCAAGTCAGTGTGACGTTACAGGATTGTTGCGTTGCCTCCACTCACAACCTACAGCTGTTTTTCCAACCTCTTGGCCCAAATCAAGGTCACCATCCCTCTGCTCTGTTTGCCCAAGGTCTTGGCTTGACAGGATCCACCAACCCATCTGCAGCAAGTCCTTTTGCCCACCTCCCCAAATTGTGGCTGCCATGCTAAGCTGGAGAAGAAGTCCTGCCCACTCACACAGATGCTGCAAGGTTGCAGCTGGTGGGTCCCCAAAGAAGCTGCCACGGAACTTGACTGACCAGGTTGAGGGCCCACTGGCTTGAGCCTTCCTCCATTGGTAGGGACAAACAACTACTTACACTTGAGAAATGTTCCTTTCAAGCAAAGAACACACTGGTCCCTGGGCTTATGCAATCCACAAATTGGTGATGCAGCCCACTGGATCTCCAAGTTGGAGACAGCTTCTTTTGCCTCTCCCTGCACGGTTTTCTCCGTGAGAGGGGAGTACCAGTACCAGTCCTGGGCAAAGACCAGTGTGAGTAATGCCATCCTGCTGCCATACCCTGCCTTAGCAGTGGGACACGGTGCCTTGTGCCGCTCCCTCTGAACTCTTGCCCTGCGGTATCTCAAGGGGTTGTGCCCCTCCCTCCAGGCGGCCGCTCCTCACGGCTGGAAGATGCAACGCCCGGGTCTCTGCGATGTGCAGAACACCCAGCTCTGGGCAGGATTCAGTGTTTAAATGCAAAATGGAGATTATGCTGCAGAGTCAAGCCATTTAGCAGCAATATTTTGAATTTCAAAACTGTACGAAAGATCAGTTTTAACCTTTGAATAGAGTTCAAAAGATGTCCCTCAGCACACTTCCACTTTTAAATAAACAGAAGCATCAAGGGCCCTGACATTTCCAAAGCCCAAAACACCGGTTTGTTTTCCTTACATAAATACTTTGAATCTTAGCAACTGTCTACAAAAGATAACGATAGCATTTGTCATAATAAAATGCGATCTGCTGATAGATTCAGCTTGCAGTTTTACAGCACCTTTGGGTAGCTTTGGTCCATTGAAGAGAAGAATTTGGATGCGTTTCAAGCTCTAAGGACACGTTCTTCCCCCTCAACGTTTTTCGTAAATGTCATTGAAGATGCAGCAGCCATGCAGCAAGTGAGAAAAGCAGCTGCGTTACCGTCAGGCTGAATTACAATCATTGTGCAAATACACTTAAGTGACTCAGCAGTAACTAATTGAGTATTTGGGATCTGTTCTCCCCTGGTAGCGGTCATGTAATTCCCCTTCATCTACACAGGAACCGAGCATATGCTTTAAGCAGAAACTAGACGATGCGTATGATGTAAACCCTTTAAGAAGGAGATATTTTTAAGAGAGAAAAGACACTGACATTGCTTTCAGCATTTTTAAATTAACTGAGTCATATGATGGGAAGTTGTCTGAAAGGTGTTATTAAAGCAAACATTTTTTCACACCAGAGAGAACTAAAAACCACCTTGTTTTTCCAGAGGAAGCGGTGTTTCTTTCCCTCTCTGTTAGTGACACAGTATTACAACCCCGCATGTATCAATGAATTTTCTTACAATATCGACACCGTTAAAAAACAGTTTTATAAAGCAGGAGCAGCGATTTTTAGAACAGGTTAATTTAGATTTTAGGTACATTTTCTCCTCAGTGAACTAACACAGATGGACCAAACGCCTTTGTTGTTCATCTCTGACCTGGACAACACTGTTTTCCAGATATCCAAACAACTTCCAACCCCTCCTTCTCATTTATCTGTTGAAACATCTCCCACTGGCCTACGTGAGCGGGTATCAGCCCATACTCTAGACAGAGCAGCTGCTGAGAAAACTTGATGCACCTGGAAAAAGGTAGAGGTATTTGCACAGAAGGTTGAAGGAGCCCATCTGGGAGGTGGCAGTCGTGTCCTCGCCACAAGAAGGTGTAAATAAATTAGCGTGGTTTGGACCTGCACGGCTGGGATCTGTGATGGAGATTACAGCCATGTGCCCATCCCAAGGAAGCCACCGCTTGGCCAAGCAGGGGGTAAAGCGTAAGAAGCATCGCACAGAGAAGAGAAAATAGGTCATCATAAAAAAAAAAAAAAAGAAAGGTGAAGAAAAAAAATAAAATACAAGCCCAAAGACACAATATGATCTTTTTAGCCTCTTATGCAAGATATGAATTTCAGGACTGCCATTACGTAATTGCTAAATAAGTCTGTCACACAGCCTCTGGGTTTGGTGTCTGCACGTAACCCTCTTCAAAGCAGCAGCGTGAGGCAGGCGGTTTCTTTACCAAAGATGAAGACAGCATCTTTCTCTTGCTTAACCATTTTTTTCTTTTATTTTTACTATACAGTTACAGCCTTAGGCTGGGGGAAATAGTAATGCTCTTCTCTCCTGTGTATTTTTTTTTCTAAGGACTGCACCACTCTTATGCATATGCAAAAGTGCATTTTTTGCATATTTACTTTCTTTATACAAAATAGCGTGCATGCCACATCATGTACCACTTTCACTTCTGTGCGGATTCCCCCAAATTTATCATCTTCTCATTTTTAGAATGTAATTCTCACTCAAATCAGAAGCAGCCAGCTCTTCTTAATAACAGTTAGTTATTCCAGAGATAACGGCTAATTATGACATTTCAAAAAGCGCAGATCAGTATTTCAGTAGGCTCAACGTTTTGAAATACTACTCAGGGCAACATCTTGGTCTTTCATGCTGGTGAAACACAAGGATCTGTTCAGCAGACAGACAGTTAAAACACCCTTCAGCATACCCTTACAAACCCTTTCTACAGTGTCTTCTGTTCGTCATAAGCCATAGTTTGGAAAAACCAGCTTTAATGGATCATTCCTTAATGTAATTAAATATATTTAACAACAGTGTGCTTCAGAGTCCTTAAATTAGTCCTTTGCCTGAAGACAATGTATTCATCCAAATCCCTCCTTAAAACATTTTTCTTCTGTAAATCCTATTAGCATTAATCTGCTAAGGCTAGGTGTGCTTTATCATTTTTTTCAGACACCTGGAAAGCTTTGAGATCTACTGCCCACTCGGCGTCTTACGGTGCCGAACGCTTTTGGAGGTCTAATTCATCCTGGAAACCCTGCAGGGTCATGTCACCTTCTCCTGGACATCCTCAATGGCACCGTAGGGAAAACGGGGAAGCGGAAAGTTTCTGTAGGATGGCATTAGCAAAGCTGCGGCAAGAAGGGACAAAACTCAGAGCAAAACCTAGCCGTGTGTTAGAAATGCAAAAGAGAGGAGAGGATAATTCACCTCTCCATTATCAGGCCCACGGTGCATTTTGTTCCAGGACCAACAGACTTCTCTCTGAAAGCCCTCAGACAAGTTGTCCCATTTAAATTCAGTGTAAGCCTCTGCAGGCTGGAGCGAGGCCTGGCCGCACGGCGAGGCAGCAGGGACCCCAAATATTTTCCAGCTCTAAAAAAGCACGGTCAGACTATTGTTTCAGAAGGAAGATTAACACCTCTCTGATCTGAAGTCCAACGTGTGCATGAAAAGCCTGGAAAGGCAAGGAGGGGTCTTTCTGTTCCTCCCCCAGAGGCGTGCAAAGTCTCTCTTGGAAGAAAGAAGCAGCCACGTTTTTCCTTTCAGGTTCACCTCATGGGCAACGTGAAAGGTGCTTGGGGTTTCCCAGACCATCAAGGAAATGCTGTGAGAATTAGTAAAAGTTAACAAGGGGAAGAGGGAGCTGTTTGAGGATTTCTAAACTATTTTAAGTGGGAGCAGGGAAAGCTCTCCAAGTATGCACTCCTTAATGGGTATATATCTAAAGAGCTGAAAATCTTTACACGAAGTTCTCCCAGCTAGTTTTTCCTCAGTCAAGGAAAATAAGGCAGCAGGGCTGCTGGCTTTTGTTTCAGATATGGAGAAGGTGGTGCTGGGGGGCCTTCCCTCCCCAGCAAGGAAGGACAGCCTGAGGAGAGACTGGAGGTGGGGGTGACGCCTCAAGCCCCCTCTCCTTGGCAGCAGCCATGTTGGGAAGGGTTAATGGGTTCGTTAACCTTTCAGAGTGGCTTTACCCCCGCAGCACCACCATTTTTCACCCTGAACCCTCTGGGTGACTCCACAGGGACCATCTTCTCCGTTTCCCCCACGGCCCAGGGGCACTCACCCTGACCCGGGGCCAGCGGGACCCCGGCCTCCTCGGGGGGTCTTTCTGCCCATCCCTCTTTAACCACTCGTGGGGTAACCCCTGCCTTTACCACTCGCGGAGGGGAGCATGGGGGGGGCGGCCCAGCCACGCACCCCGGGACGAGGCTCCATTTTGGAAGAAAAGGACGGCTGGAGGCGGGACGGCTTCCCTGCCCTCTCCTGAGGGAACAACACCTGGGCAGGTACGCACCCAGCCCCGGTAACGAAAACCGCCGCCCTTAACCCGCGGGATACGCCGAGGCTGGAACTTTGCCCCGGGGCGGAAGAGGAGAGATGAGGAGAGGCCGGAAACAGCCGGGATCGGATCGGATCGGCTCCGCTCGGCTCGGCCCGGCCGCTGCTGTGGGGTTGGGGCCGGGGCCGCGGCCGACCCGCGCGCCCCGGGCGTGACGTCACGGCCCCGCGGCCAATGGGCGGCGGAGGCGCCCCTGATGCCATGGCTGGAAGTTCCCCGGCGGCGGCTCTGTGTCCGGCCCCCCCCCCCCCCCCCCCCCCGCCGCCCCCCCCCCCCCCCCCCCGCCCGACGTCGCCGCCGCTGCTCCGGCTGCGGCCCCGGCCAAGGCTACGGCCGCCAAGAAGCCGAAGAAGGCGGCGGGCGCCGCCAAAGCCCGCAAACCCGCCGGCCCCAGCGTCACCGAGCTGATCACCAAGGCCGTCTCCGCCTCCAAGGAGCGCAAGGGGCTCTCCCTCGCCGCCCTCAAGAAGGCGCTGGCCGCCGGCGGCTACGATGTGGAGAAGAACAACAGCCGCATCAAGCTGGGGCTCAAGAGCCTGGTCAGCAAGGGCACCCTGGTGCAGACCAAGGGG